TGCATGTATGTCTGCCTGTTTATGCCTGGTACCCAGGGAGGCCAGAAAAGGGTGTTATATCCCCTGAAAGTGGCAGTATAAACAGCTGTGAGCTGCCATGTTGGTACTGTGAATTGAACCTGGGTCCTCTGGAAGAACAGCAAGTGCTCTCTCTTAACTACTGAGCCATCTTTTAAAAGACAGTTTCTCTGTGTAGTCTTGGCTGTCCTGGAACTTGTTCTGTAGGCCTTGTACTCACAAAGACCCTCTTGCCTCCTCCTGAGTGCTGCGATTAAAGGCAAGTGCCACCACTGCTCTGGTGCTGTTTTGTTTTTTGGAGACAGGATCTCACTCTCTAGGCCATGCTGGCCTGGAACTGGAGATGATCTTACTTCAGCTGTCCAAGTGCTGCGATTACAGACATGACCTATCATACCTGCTTTAAAATTTGTTACAGGCACAGAAGTCTGCCTGCCTCTGCCTACTGAGTTCTGGGATTGAAGGCGCACAGCCACACCCACCCTGACAGATTACTGTTTTGAAGTAGGTCCCAGCACAGGGTGCATGATGACCTGGAACTGACGATCTTCTTACCTTAGGCACCTGTGAATGAGGTGGCTAGCACCACAACCACCCAGCCTAAAGAATACACTGAAAGTTCATAGAAAATTATTTGAATTCTGTGAGTTCGAGGCCAGCCTGGTCTACAAGAGCTAGTTCCAGGACAGGCTCCAAAGCAACTCTGTCTTGAAAAAGTAACTAACTAACTAACTAACTAACTAACTAACTAATAAAAATTAAAAAAAAAATCATTTTAACTAGGCTGAGAAGAGCCAAGAAGGTAACTATGATCATCACCTGGGTTTCAGGTGAGCCTGGGCTACACTGCAAGAATTAGTTTCAAACAGCTCAGCAAACTACCCCTGGGCCAATGTTGCCAGTAAAATTCTCTACCTGAACATTTAAATTGAACGTGCTCAGAGTGCTTGTTCATTTGTAACTTTATTAGTGGCCACTCTTCTGTTAGCTGGAACTGAAGTCATTTTAATGCATTTACATCCACTTATCTATATAATAAAACCTAATATTGGTCATAATATACAACCTGGTTATATTATCTTAATTTTTACTACTCTAATTTAGAATTAGTACTCATCTATGATGTGGGATTCCCCTCTGTATCTGTGAATATCATTGGTTAATGAATAAAACTACTTTGGCCTACAGCAGGGCAGAATTGAGTAAGGTGGGAATTCCAAGCAGATACAGGATGCAAAAGAAGGCAGAGTCAGGGAGATGCCTTGCAGCTGCTAAAGGAGAAAAATACCCATGTGCTGGTACTGGTAAACTACGAGCCTCCTGGTAAAATATAAAATAATAGAAATCAGTTAATTTAAGACTTAAGAGCTAAAGCCGGGCAATGGTGGCGCACGCCTTTAATCCCAGCACTCGGGAGGCAGAGGCAGGCGAATCTCTGTGAGTTTGAGACCAGCCTGGTCTACAGAGCTAGTTCCAGGACAGGTTCCAAAGCCACAGAGAAACCCTGTCTCGAAAAAAAAAAAAGATTTAAGAGCTAGCTAGAAATACGCTTAAGCTATTGGCCAAACAACCTCTGAGCCATCTAGCTCCAACAGTATTGTAATTAATATCATTTCTGTGTGATTATTTTTGTATCTGGGAATGAACGAGCAGCCTCTGATTACACATCTACATGCTAATTTTCTAGCATTATTGTTTATTGTTGTTATTGTTTTTTTAATATTTATTTATTATGTATACAATATTCTGTCTGTGTGTATGCCTGCTGGCCAGCAGAGGGCACCAGACCCCATTACAGATGGTTGTGAGCCATCATGTGGTTGCTGGGAATTGAACTCAGGACCTTTGGAAGAGCAGGCAATGCTCTTAACCTCTGAGCCATCTCTCCAGCCCTGTTGTTATTGTTTTTGAGACAATGTTTCTCTGTAGCTTTGGAGCCTGTCCTGGAAGCTCTTGTAGACCAGGCTGGCCTTGAACTCACAGAGATCTGCTTGTCTGTGCTGGGATTAAAGGCCTGCACCACCACCGCCCAGCTTTATTATTATGTTTTATGTTTTATTATAGGATATAAGACCTTTAGAAATACAAATATAATGCATATTTTCCAGAAGTAATCTGTAATCAATTTCTTTATCTATTTCTGTATGTATTCACATTGAATTTATAATAGTATTTAACATATTTAGAAATGCAAGTTTAATGACTTTTTTAAAAACAAAACAAGTAATCATACATTGCACTGTAGAGATAGTTTTGACATCTTAACTCTATGATTTCATGACCTATATCATATATTCAACATTCTTGTGTTTCTTGTTTGTTTTTGGTTTTTGAGATAGGTTTCTCTGGATAGCTTTGGAGCCTGTCCTGGAACTCACTCTGTAGATCAGGCTGGCCTCAAACTCACAGAGCTCTGCCTGCCTCTGTCTTCTCAGTCTTTTTCTTTTTTTGATATTTATTTATTATGTATACAATATCCTTTCTGCGTGTATGCCTGAAGGCCAGAAGAGGACACCAGATCTCATTACAGATGGTTGTGAGCCACCATGTGGTTGCTGGGAATTGAACTCAGGACCTTTGGAAGAGCAGGCAATGCTCTTAACCTCTGAGCCATTTCTCCAGCCCCTGTCTTCTGAGTCTTGAATCGAAGGTGGGCACCACTACCACCCGGCCTTGAACATTCTTTTAAACATAACAGCTCTATTGATGTACTGTGATTTTGCTCAGTCTTGTTTTGGGGTGACAGGGTTTCATTGTGTAGCCATTGCTCAGTTTCTTATTGATAATCTGTATAGTTATAAATTATAAAAGCAAAAGCATTTTGGGAGATGTCTTGTGAAAAAAGGCAGAGCAAAGTCAGCTCTAAGTGCTGCCTCAATTTTTTTTTTTTTTTTTTTGTTTTAAGATACAGCCCTGACTGGCTTCATTTCAGATTCTCAATCTTCTCCCTAAGCTTCAGACTTCCTAACCCAGATTCTGACAGATGATCTTAACTTGACCAACAACATCTTTTTTGCCTACATTAACTACAATTTGACTGTCCTTAGGATCAAAGACCCCTAACTAGTTGCAGATTTTTCTAATGTTTTATTATTACAAACCAGACTGATAACTAATTTCTTAACATTTTGGGTTGGTAGGCAAATATAACACACTCTATTTTTAATGTGTATTATGTAGTGTTGTGTTGTCATCTGATGTACTTGAGGGCAAGGATTTCTCCATGTTGTTGAGAATTCCAAGTGCCATACTATTTCCCACAATCAATTTTTTTGACTGATTTTTGAGTTTAAATATGTAGCCCTCGTTGGCTTGGAACTCACTATGTAGACCAGGATAGCCTCAAACTCCTAGAGATCTGTCTGTTTCTGTCTAGTCATTAAGGGCTAAAGGCATGCATCACCACACCAGGCCTCCACAAAATTTTTGAGATAAAATTTACACAACAAAATTAATAATTTTAAAGTGTAAACTGGACGTGGCACACCTTTGTACTATCCCAGCACCAAGGAAGTGGAGGCAGGGGTTCAAGGCCAGCATCTGCTGCAAAGCAAGTTCCAGGTCAGTGCAAGCCACATGAACCCCCTCCCTACACAAGAACAAAAACAAACATGTTAATACAGACTGTCAACCTGCATCTATTTCCAAGACCATAGTGATTTGAAGTGAAAGCATTTTTAACCTCTGCTTTTTTTTAAATTGTGTGTTGATTATTTTGGGTTATGTTCATATGTGTGCATGTGATTTCTCGTTTCTGACGTGGCCAGAAGAACATGTCTGATGTGGAGCTGGAGTTGCAGGCCATGAGTGCAAAGGTGGAATCAGAAGCTCTGCTTCTCCCCTAGAGCAGCAAGTGCTCCTCCTACCTCTGGGCCATCTGTCTAGCGCCTGCCAATCTTGTCTATGGTTCATTCCTTTCTAGATTATAATCTAGATTGTAGTTTATAAATAACTATGTAAGGAACTCACGAGAAAAATTAAGATTTAAGCATTTGACCTCCTGTTGTCTCACACACCCTCAATTTCTTCAACCTGACTCGTCTCTTCGGGCAGGAAATTAGAGGCGACAGCCTAGGAAGGATGAATACAGTTTTGTTTTGTTTTTTTTCACGTTAGTCCCCGGTAGCAGGAAGAAGAGAGCAGTGGGTGGGATGTGGCTCCAGTTGTTTCCCTAAAATGAAAAGCAGACTTGGTAGAGCGCCTGCAATCCTGACACTCAGGAAGCTTCGAGACTATACCATATATCCAGTACAACATGAACTACCCAGACCTTGTCTCTAAATAAGCCAAAACAAAAGAAACCGCTTGGTCACAATTGGAGCTTTCGAACTGTATTTCCTATGATAGAGGAAACGAAGTCTTAAAAAAAAAATTCTTAAAGTTTGCGCCTCCCAAAGGGGGAAAACAAACACCCTAACCACGAGTCCAGGGGTTCCTAAAGTGAGCCACAGACCACAGAGATCAGCACAGAGGCTGCGGAGAGCGCAAACATCTCCCAGTTCCTACTACTTGGAGGCGTGGCTTCCAACTGAGGCCCTCCCGCTCATCAGGCGGCTGCGGCCTTTCGGGCGGTAAAACCTGAGAGCCGGGTGCGGACGCCAGGCCCGCCGCACCGCCTCCCCGAGCTTGCGAGCTGCACGCACCGCGGGAGCCCGGGCCCCGCCCCCCCCCCCCCCGCCGAGTGAGCGTGCGCACCACGCTCTCCCAGCTGCCGCGCCTCTAGCTGCCCTGGTTACCGTTGGTGTTTGCGAATTCCCTGCAGCGCAGGTTTTGCCGCGGACCCAGCCCCGCGGCCGTTCCACACGCGCGCGCCGGCGTCACGTGGGCCGAGGCTCCCACGCGGACGCCGGCCGGCAGCTGAGGCGGCTGGAAGGCGCTGCGGCTACCGCTAGCCCACCGTCTCCGCCCCAGGGCTGGTGCGCGGATAAAAATGGCGAAATGGGGGTTAGCCGGCGGGGAACCTGACGGGATGGGGCACGGAGGTGGCATTGATGTGGAAGCCTGCTGAGGTGGGCGCATTTGAGCTGGCGACCTCGGGCCGGCGGCTGACAGCGCAGACCACGGAGTCCGGGGGTCGCCGAGGGCCCCGCCGAGCGCCGGAGGCAATGGACGAGCAGAGTGTGGAGGTGAGGGGCGTTGTGGAGCGTGGCGGCTGGGCTCCTCGCCATCGGGGAGCCTTTTCTATCCGGGGCGCCATGCTCTCGCCTTCCCTGTGGGAGGCAGCCTGGCCCTCGGCTGTCTGCTGCCCTCAGGCTGCCAGGTGCTGAAGCTGTTCCGCAGTCAGGTGCTGAGAGTTTGCAGCGCTGCCTTGGCTCGTGTGCTCGTCCCTGCTCGCAGGTTGAGCCTTTCCAGAGCAAAATTGCAAATTCATCGGAAGGACTTGCCCTGCTTTCGCGCCACGACTTGCTCGGAATGGTTAAACATTTTCACCCTCAGCGGTACATTTTGTAGGATACGCACACACCTCTCGTACACTACGGTCTTAAAGACTAGTTTCCAGCATTGGTTCTTATAGAATGACTTCATGGTTGGGATATTTCCATGAGAGCTAGAAGCTCAAAAAGATTGCTTTTTGGGGGGATACAACTATGCTATGTAGTGATAATTAAAATTTGAACCGTTCAGACACTAAAGTACTATGTAATTTTGGCTTTTAAAAAGTAAGGAGGCCGAGCATTGGTGGCGCATACCTTTAATCCCAACTTTCGGAAGGTAGAGGCAGTCGTACATTTGTGAGTTCAAGGCCTTCTTGGTCCTGAGTTCAGGACAGCCAAGGACAACTAAGGCTACACAGAGAAACCCTGTCTGGGGTGTGTGTGTTGGGGGGGGGAGTAAGAGGTAACTTACTGAGTGAGCACTGCACTTGAGATTAACTCAGTTCACCCAGTGGTTTTCTCAGAGCCATTTAGAGTTCCCATCTCTCAGGTTCCAGTTTGCAGTAATGATTAGAATCATTCATTGCTTTTGTGAAAGCCGTAGAAAGGTTTTGTAAACTTTTCTTGGTTTTTAGGAGAGTTTAATTCTTCTGGGATGGAGTAAAAACAAACGTCATTCTGCAAAAATAAACTTGCAATATACAACAACAGTATTTTTAGTTTTGTTTTTTAATTTTAACTTGTCAGTTACTTTCAAGATATATTCCTCTGAAACTTGCAAAGAAGAATGGTATTGTGGTTTTTTTTTTTTCTATTTACAACCTTTTAAAAACTTTCCTGTTTACAAATTTTTTTATTGGCAACTAGATGTCAGAAGTGACACTAAAATTTTTAGTGGATGCAGATTTCCCGGCTCACATAATCAGTTGATTACATCAGGACAGAAATTCGGATTCCGAATTAGTTTCTCTTTGGTCCAGAAAACTTTTCCAATAACTAATCTAATTATCTTTCCAATTATGTTTTTCTTTATTTTGAGTGAGCCTTGATGAGCTCATGTGTTGGTCAGGACAGCTGTCAGTTCTCCTACCATGTGGGGCTCCTTGGGCTTGATGGTACAGCCTTTGCTGCTCTTTCCGCTTGATTTGGTGTAATCTGAGAACCTTACTGTATCTTTTGTTTCCAGAGCATTGCTGAGGTTTTCCGATGTTTCATTTGTATGGAGAAATTGCGGGATGCTCGGCTGTGTCCTCATTGCTCCAAGCTTTGTTGTTTCAGCTGTATTAGGGTAAGTTGTATTTCATTTTATGTGCATTCAGTTTTGTTTTTGTTAACTGTTTTGTTTTGAGATCTTACAGTTTCTTTTGAGGTCTTACATTGCAGCTCTGGCTGGCCTGGAATTTACTCTGTAGACCAGGCTGCCTTCAAATTCACAGAGGTCCACCTGCCTCTTTTTCCTGAATGCTGTACTGTAAGTATTAACCATGACCCTTTCTCTTTTTCTTTTCTTTCTTTCTTTCTTTTTGGTTTTATGAGACAGGGTTTTGGAGCCTGTCCTGGAACTAGCTCTTGTAGGTCAGGCTGTCCTCGAACTCACAGAAATCCACCTGCCTCTGCCTCCTGAGTGCTGGGATTAAAGGCGTGCGCCACCACTGCCTGGCTTCCCTTTCTCTTACCATATTTTGCATCCCTTTAAAATGTTTCTTTAATAAATGTTTCTCAACAGAGCACCATTTTATAATGTAAATTGTGTGTGTTGCTTGCATATATGTCTGTACATTATGTGTGTACTGTACTCCTGAAATCCAGAAGAGCACATCAGATCTCCAGCGAGCAGAATTACCGACAGTTATGAGCTGCCATGTTGGTGGTGGGGATTGAACCTGGGTCCTCTGGAAAGGCAGCTAGTATTCTCAACCATGATAAGATGACTTAGTACTTAGTAAATCAACTACTTGTTTCTAAGCCTGGCGATCCAAGGTTAGTTTCACAGTGTAAGAAGAGGACCAGCTAGTTCAGGGTGTCCATACCTTCATAAGCACACAAAGAAAAAGAAAAAGATAAAAATGTCCCTTTGTCAAGAGTAATCTCTATAGCACCCAAATGATTTTCTTCTAGTCACAGGACTAGCAGATATTGGAGCTGAATCGAATCTTTTTAAGAGTAACTATCTAATTAAGTCTGTTTTAGAGTTCAACATATGAAACTGGTTGTCACATTGGTAAAGGGGGAAACTTTATCTTTCTTAGCATTGTTTTCTTAGCTGTAGGATTTAGGTGAATAATCTGCCCAATGGCTAGTTGGAAATAAGTGAAAAGAGAATTGAGAAGTTAGAAAATATTACCCTCTTGTGAAGTTTTGTTGTAGTAGTTTATCACCCAGTGTACATGGTCTTTTAAGTTATGAAATTGCAGCTACAGAGATGGATTGGTCTCCATCACTGTAGTGAAAGCTTGGTGGCGTCTATCTAGACTGAGTTTCTTTGAAAGTGCCTGTGACCTCTGGGGATTGTGTTGAACCTGGCCGATTCTTGGTTACCTTTTCCTCTTCCTTATTTCTAAATGCATCTACTTACTGTGAGATATTGGATTTACTTTTGCAGTTCTAGCTTTCATCTATATATGGGTCCTGGATCTAGTCCTTTAGCGTTGGTTTTATTTATCTTTGTGTGGGGTGTTGTTAAACATGGTGACCAGCAAGGACTTTACCACAAAGCAACGTTTTTAGCATAGCATTGACTTTTTAAGATGTCTTACTTCATTTCGTTCCAGAATCTTGAACTTACTTAGGATAAAATTTTTTCTTTTTTTTCTTTTTTTTTTTTTGGCAGGGGGGTGGTTTTGAGATAGGGTTTTTCTGTGTAACAGCCCTGACTCTCCTGAAACTCAATTTGTAGACCAGGCTGGCTTCGAACTCCCAGAGATCCGCTAGCCTCTGCCTCTCAGGTGCTAGGATTAAAGGCGTGCGCCACTACCTCCCAGCTATGTTATTTTTTCAAACTGACCCTGATGTCTTTATGTCTTTTGTTTTGCCTATCATTCAGACTTGTAACCTTGGACACCAGTGACTTTTTTTCCCCTCCAAGATAGGGTTTCTTTGTGTGTAGCTCTGGCTGTCCTAGAATTAGCGAACTCACGGAGATCCACTTACCTCTGCCTCCCGGCCATAGTGCTTACTTATGTTTTTAGGACTGATTTACATGCCCATAATGTGTACCTTAGAATTAGTTTGCTTTTTACAAACTAAATTTGGTACTACCTTAAACTTTGTGGTTTGTAATTAGTTATAAAAAAATCACTGCGGCTTACTTTTGAGACTGGAGTGATGGCATTATTATAAAGATTACATCTTCGTGAGTTACAGCTAGCCCTAGAATCCTTTGCTTTCCTAAGGGAGAGTAGCCTCTGTACTATTTTGGGATAAATTCTATCCCTTTGAAAATTTGTTCCTGTAATGATAATGATGAGTAGTAGATTGCCTGTTATTTCTGTATCTCTAAAATAAATTAGGCACTAGAGAGTTAAACTCATTAAATGTAGTTTATAATGATTAGATATATAAAGTAATGATGTTTTTATAATCAAACTTTAATTATTTTGCCTCCTCAGCGCTGGCTGACAGAGCAGAGAGCTCAGTGTCCTCATTGTCGGTGAGTGTTTTGCTGTTTGCATAAATGGAAAACGGTAAAAGAGGATGCCCTAGGATGCATAAAGGCAAACTTTGCTTTCCCCTCCATCCCTGCAGTTTCCCACATTTCTTTTCCTTAGGGATAAAGTTGAATAGAAGACGATGAGTAGATTTAGAAGCAGAAGTGCAGGAACTGTATCCTGACTACATTTTATGTGTTGTGCCATGTTTTTCTTACATAGTGATTGTGTAGCTTAACATTTTTTTCTTTCCAGACTATTTATTGTATTTACACTAAATAATAACTTATTGTTTCACCCAAATGGGCCTTAAACTCTTCAGTTCTATACCCTTAGTGTTAAGATTACAGATGTGCTTTTCCATACTTGGCTTTTCTTACTGTTTTAATAATATTGTGGTCTCTTTTGAAGAATACTTATTTTAGAAAAATCTTGCATGTCTGAGCTAGAACATACATGTGTATGGATTTTCTTTTCAGTGCTCCACTTCAGCTACGGGAACTAGTGAATTGTCGCTGGGCAGAAGAAGTGACACAGCAGCTTGATACTCTTCAACTGTGCAGTCTTACCAAGCACGAGGAAAACGAGAAGGACAAGTACGTGATTGGTCTTTTGTTCAGTAGTTAATACGTTATGCCACGTGCTGTTTTCTAGACAGAAGTTTCTGTCTCACCCCCTCCCGCAGCCATTCAGTTTCAAAGAAACATACAGAGGCTTAAATTAATTATAAACTGTTTGACCTATTAGCTCAGGCTTATTATTAACTAGTTCTTACAACTTAACCCATAATTCTTATCTATGTATAACGACATGGATTGGTACTTTTCTCAGTAAGGCATTTTTATCTTGCTTCCTCTGCATCTCGTTGGTGACTGCATCTGTGCTTCTCCTCTTCCTAGAATTCTGTTAGTCTTGTCATCCCTAGCCAGTCAGTGTATTATTACACTAACACGAGTGACCAATCTTTACAGTGTACAAGATAATTATCTGTATACAGCAGTTTTATTGACACTATGTATCTGTATGCATACGTTTAAATGATTGACTTGTGTGTGTACCCTGTGTTTGTACTGGGAATTAAATCTAGGGTCACATGCATGTGAAAGTGCTCCCTGACTTGAAGGTCTGATGATACTGTATTGATAATTTTCTTTTATCTATAATTGAGAAAGTTAATGCTAACCTTTTAAATTCTTTCATTTGTTGCTTAATATCTAAAGTTTTTCTTTATATATTGCTTCTATATTTATTTCATGACTACTCACCCATAGAGGAGCACAAAGTACTGTGTTATGTTAGTTGATACAAAGGCAAATGAATAGATGATTTCTGTTTAACTGATTAACGGGAACACAGCAATAATACAGTGGTATGGTCTTGTTAGAAAGTACAGTGGGGGGGGCTGAAGAGATGACTCAGTGGTTAAGGGCACTGCCTGTTCTTTCAAAGGTCCTGAGTTCAATTCCCAGCAACCACATGGTGGCTTAAAACCATCTGTAATGAGATCTGTTGCCCTCTTCTGACCTGCAGGCATACATGTAGGCAGAACACTGCATACATAATAAATAAATAAATAAATAAATAGATGTTTTTAAAAAAGGAAGGATAGTGGATGCAAATTTTGGATAAAAAAAGAATGAGGCAGCCGGGCGGTGGTGGCGCATGCCTTTAATCCCAGCACTTGGGAGGCAGAGACAGGCGGATCTCTGGGAGTTCGAGGCCAGCCTGGTGTACAAGAGCTAGTTCCGGGACAGGCACCAAACCTACAGAGAAACCCTGTCTCGAAAAACCAAAAAAAAAAAAGAATGAGGCATTATATTGCATGTTACAGATATCAGTCATATCTGTATTAGGGTTATTAGAAACAGATCAAAAGTAGAAAGTTAGAGATTTCAAGAATGTTAAATTTTAAAAGATAATTATACATAATATGTTAAATTTAGCATTGTTATTATTATTGTTATTATTACTATTATATAGAAATAAAAGCATGGGGGCTAGAGAATTGAGTCATTCGTGAAGAGTGTGTACACTACTCTTGCAGAGGACCTAAGTTGGAGTCCCATCACTCATGTTATGTGGCTCATAACTCCCTGTAACACCAGTTCTAGGGGAATCCAATGCCTCTCTTCCATGGGCACTTGCACTTAACATACCCACAAACAAATACATGTACACATAATTTAAAGTAATAAAAAATAATTTTTTTATTTTTAAAGAAGAAGCAAAGGAAGTAACCACAGAAATGGGAAGAGACTAAACTGGATTGTTCTTGGTTTTGTGCTTGCGTGCGAGTGTGTATGTGTGTGCACGTGCATGCGCCAGCTTTTGCTTTGTATCCCAGATTGACCTTGAAATCACTTTGTAGTTTAGCCTTTCTTCTGCTTCAGTCTCTCTATACTGTACTCTCCTGTATAGAGATTACAGGTTTGTGCCACTTTGCTCAGTTGATGCTGAGTAAGTCCATTATTTAAAACGGAATATTATTCTACTACTGTTCTAGCTAAACTGTTTTTTGAGACAGAGTTTCTCTGTGTGGCTGTCTGGGACCTCACAGAGCTCTGCCTGCCTCTACCTCCTGAGTGTTGGGATTAGAGGAATGCACCACCATGCCTGGCTTGCTAAATTGAACTCTTAAGGGTGTTTATTTTAGCATTATGGTGGTCATACCAAAAAGAGTAATTTAAGTATAATAACACATCTCATCAGTGACCTCTTGAATATTTTTCCCTGTAGGTTGATGAGATATCACTGTTTGGAAAAGTCTTTTTTTGTTGGGCTTTTACTTTTTTTCATTAGTGCCTCTCATAAAAGGAATAAATGCCCTACAGTTTCCTAATCTGACAATCTTTTGTTTTGTTTTGTTTTGTTTTAATTTTAAGCCTTAGCTTCCCATGTGTATTACAGATCTTGGGTTATTTTATATATCATGTAAAGTAAGTATCTAAATTAATATGGTAGGTGACTGGGTGGTTTAAACAGTGGGATTTTTTCCCCCTTCTGTAGTTTTAGAGGCAGGAAATCCAAGATCAAGGTGCTTGATGAAAGGCTGGTTTCTGGAAGCTTTTATCCTTGACTTGTACATGGCTGCCTTCTTACTGAGTCACTTTGAAGGTTAAGACCTCATCATAAGAATTTTGGGGAGAGCACAGTTATGTCTGTCACAGAATTGAACTTTGTTGTTTTGTATGTGAACATCTGTATTAAGGGAAAGTTTCAAATTGAATAGTTCATTTCTCATGATGACCTTGTATTGACATTGTGTAGTCGGTATGTCTTGTTGTTGTAGACAGAAGTTTCTGTCTCACCTGGTCCCACAGCAGTTCAGTCCCAAAGAAACACACAGACGCTTATATTAATTATAAACTGTTTGGCCTGTTAGCTTTTAGGCTTATCATTAACTAACTAGCTCTTACAACTTAAATTAACCCATAATTCTTGTCTATGGTTAGCCACATGGCTTGGTACCTTTTATTAGTGAGGCATTCTTTTTTT